CCCGAAACCGGTTTGTATGACAAACACTCAATGAGGTGCACTTCGCTAACAAACAAAACACAAACAACTCGATTGCAATGAAGCCAAAAATATGTCTTCTGGACCATTGATATGTGATGCAATAATCTCTTTGGAGATGAGCTCTGTCTGCTTCACCCTGAAGCCAGATAACAAACATATGGTCATTTCTAGAGAATGTGGAACGAGATTCAAACCCAATTTTGTACGAGGAAGTGATGCATATGGTGGTGGTGAGTGTATGATGTGGGTTAGAATAAGCATTGGTGGGTGTAGTGACCACTACTTCTTGCAAAATGATACCATTAATGTCATATATTATAGGAACCATATCCTAGAACTATTTGTGCTGCATATCCTCGTACGTTTAATCTTGCCTAGTAAATGCTAACGCCCACTTTCCACCATTTTAGCTGGTCAACACAACCTTTCAAAAGACGAATGTTCACCAGACTTTTATTCCATTGAATATGTAGTATGTCAGTTAAAACATTAAGTAAGACATGATTTGTTTTTGTTTCAGAACTTTGCTCCGGAATCAAATTTTCAAAGGAGTGGTCAAGAATACTTTAGGACTTTATCAACACTTTGATTTTAAACATGCATTCTCGGTGCCAGGTTGACCTTCCTGTTTGTAACAACCATATTACATATTAAAGTGAAGTATCATAAATTATAAAGATTTAACTTCGAAACAAATGATTATTTACGAGCTTTTCAGGCCATATGATGGATCATCACATGCTTAATTTGCACAAAAGATGAAGAGAGGGGTGATCATTGACATCATTTTATAACTATGGTTTATCCTTGTCGTAATTTTCCAAAAATGTTGAACCTTTTCTTCTACACAAAGAATTTAAATGATTTACCTTAACCTAAATGAAACTTGTAAAATGAAAGTATTCAAAACGAGAATGGGCCTTTTACACTTTTTAGAATATTGGGATGGATGTTCGACCACCCCCTCCTCCAATGCTACACTAATCTGATGGTTATGTTAGCCTTATGATACATACGTTTTGTTTGTCATTTAGGTTCAGTAACACAAAGAAATTTAGGCTAGAGATTTTGACGCATAGTAAAGAATAAATAAAAGTAGTTTACTCCACGTTCGTGGTGGTCAAAGTGATCATTCTTTGGGCTCATAATATTTAAAATACCTTCAACTTTTTGACGGCTATAGATAGGCCTAAATAAAATGTTTTTAACTGTGTACCAGTTCAACGTTGAATATTATTTATGATTTTAACTTTATACAAAAGTGCCAAAATACTATAATTATCCAAAAGTCGTTTGTTTCTAAATTTCAGGAGAATAGAGGAACCAGACAATATTATGCTTGTGATTATGAAAGCAGAAAATGGTTTTATTGTATGAACTAAACCGTATTTGTATTTTGTATTTAAAGCCAAGTTGCTCGGAATATCTATCGCCGTCCCTAATTTTGAACTACTGACCAGAGAGGATTTTATTTGTTTGATTGTTTTGTTTGTTAAGCAATAAGCCACACAATGGGCTACCCGTGTTATGCCCACCGCGGGTATCTAAGCCTGATTTTAGCATTGTAAGCAGCCAGTCTTACCGCTGAACCACCGAGGGCGACCAAAGAAGAAGACAGACAGCCACATATGTATGTTAGGCATTGGTAGATATTTCTTGAACCTGATTGTTTTTAAGTCACTTTTATGTTCTTTTTATAAACCAAAAGAAAAAAAAGAGGGAGAGAGACCCAACTCCTTATAATAGGGCAAGTGTAAATGTGCATAATAGCCAGAAAAATGGCTACGAAAGAAAGATGTAGCCAGTTACAACTGGCCATACTATTACATTTTCACTTGTAGTCTGAAGTTATGTTGTATTCCTATAATGAATTAACTGTCTCTTTTGTAACACACTCACAGCTTAAAGCTTTTTTTAGTATTTCACAGATTTTTGGAGCCGACTCGCTAGCTCCGAAGTCAAGAGCTTTACCACAGGGCCAATCAACTGCTCCCAAAATAATTTATAGCTAGACTGAAAAATAATCATTTGTTTTAACGCAAAACTACATAATAAGCTATCTGTGCTCAATCCATCGGAAAAAGCTATCTAGTGTTGTAATTACATAAACTTACCGCTGATCCACCGAAGACAACATCAACAATAATAGTGAGAGATTATTATTAGGAAATGACACCCAATTTACTTGAGAAAATATACTTAAATGATATATATATAAGAATTTCTTTAAAGTTTTGAGAAACACATAACCAAAAGCCCCCAGTTGCTCAGAGGTAAGTCTACAAGCTCATAACTCTAAAATTCTAGTTTCGATACCCCTGGAGGGCAGAACATAGATAATCCATTGTGTAGCTTAGCGCTTAACAACAACAAAACCACAGTCAAATACTATCGTTAAAGACATTTACAACAAATCAAAATTTAAAAAATGTAAGTCTGGCGATACATAGATCCTTTTTTTTTATGTGGGGTGGGTGTAGTTGTATAGTTTTTACTTAATGTAATTTATGTACATACACAAAGCCTAACAAATAACTTCAAAATGAATGGCTCGCCCATAACGTCATTAAACAACAAGAAAAAGAAAAAATGATAATCAGAAACTTTCGGAAGATGAATTAGGAATGAATAGCTCCAGTTGTCTGGTTTGTTGGTTTGTGGCATATTTAATTTTTTTATCCTAGGTAATTTCTTAGTGTCAAGAAAAAAATTCATATAATACTATTGCTGTAGCACTTTGAAAAAAACTGTTTTTATTGTTAACTGTTTGCTATAGACAAAAAGTGATAATTTTTTCCTTTGTTTCCACAATAAATATTTATTTTCTCCAAAATATTTCCTATAATCATAAATATCTAAAACCTATATATATGGACTGGGCTTCTTGGATTTATTTGTTTTATAATATTATTCATGGCGAAAGGCTCGCCATCTAGTGCTACATTTTAAGATTTCTTCTCATTTTAAGTTTGCGTTCTAAGATACCCCTAGTGGCCATAAGTCTGAGAGCTCATACCACTAAAAACCGGATTTCAATACTTGTAGTAAACACAGCACAGATAGCCAATTGTGTAGCTTTGGACTTACCAATAGATAAACAAATATTCTAAGATAGAATTAAAAATTAGTCTTCGCTCTTTCTTTGTATTTCTCTCTCTCTCTTTTAAGCGACAAATGTACATTTTTACGAATGCCTTTCTCTGCAGAATAAATTGTGCAAAAACTCCTATTTGCTAGATTTTCTTCTCTTTATCTTTTTAAGTATATTATTTATACATTTTGAATACCAGGTATACATGTTAATCCTTTATCTAAAAAAGTTAAGTTGCTTTACTTAACTTTACCTAAAAAATTCTCCAAGTTGGAAAATTTCCTAGTTATATTTTTCATTGAAAAGGATTAAAGTTTTGAAATTGAACCCAGAAAGTGGAAAAACGAGAAGAAAAAAAAGAAACAAACAACGTGTAATGAATTCTACACAACTTCTGTATATGTAGATCACTTAAGAATAAGTCATCTTTTCTACATCTTCCTTCAAATTGCAACATTTTTTTTTTCATTTCCTTAGTTTGGTGGCATTTTGAAAGAAAATTATAAAAGTTAAACAGAGACACCCCTTTACGTAATTACAAAAATGTATATTCTGTTAGGATATTTTTTATTATTTACTGTTAAGCACAAAGCTATACAATGGGCTATATGCGCTGTGCCCATCTGGGTATCGAAGCTAGGTTTTTAGAGTTATAAGCCTTCAGATCATTATGTTAGAAACTTACTTAAATTATCAAATTAAGCCCGAACTTCCACTTCTTTCTGCGTTTTTACACTTCTCTTGTCACTAAATATTCTGTAGGTTGATTTAAAGCTTTCTCACATTAACAAAGTAACTTGTTATTTAAGATATATTTTTGTCTGATTGGTATGAACAAAACTCTTTGCTTACTTTTTAACATGTAGAATTACGTCTTAGTAGAAACAAATGTATCATTTATCAATTTGCTATATTTGAAATAATTTAAACACAGAATTTATTTTAGTTAACTATTTTATACATATCTCTCCTGAATAAAAGGTCAGCCTTGGCCTAGTAGTTAACGTGACGGACTGCGCATCGGGAGGTCCAAGATTCGAAATGTGATGCCGTTGAACATATTCCGCACTTTCATCTATGTGCCTTTTCTATATATGAAAGTGACCGTTATTTGTTTCACAAAACTCTTGTGGTGGCTTTTGCTGATGGATGGCTACCCTCTTTCTGATCATTTAGGAATAGACATACCCGAATCCCAGGGGTCTATGGCTGCTTTTAAGCTCACGTGCGCATAAGGCGGCACTCAGGCTGAGCATTCCTCTTACACATCAACGTCAGTTAGAATTAAGTCCTGTCAGTCGCCGTGCCTATCAACCTTCTCCACACTGTCCCATTTTGAAACATAGCAAGCTTTTAAACTTTTCAGTTGATGTCCTTCTCCTTTCAAAAGCATTTTTTATTCGTCTTCGAGATCTTCTAGATGGTTTTATTCCGCGTGGTGCCCAATTCATAAATTCCTTTGAGTATCTATATGACCATACCATTTCAACTTATTTCTGTCAATAATTTGTAGTATTTACATTACTTTAAATATTTTCTAATTTTCTTATTTCTCATTTATTCAAGTCTTCTCACTCCATTTTCGATTCTCGATACCTTAATTTTCACTGCTTGAATTTGTCTTTCAATTTTATTTGTTGTAGACCAAGCTTCTGAGCCATACGTTAGAATTAGTCTCAAACAGAACGATATATAATAATTTTAATATTTCAACTGATTTTGAGATGCGGTTAACCTTTTGTGAGCAAAAAATTAAATTCATCGCCTGCTGGCTAGGTAAACATTATATGAATATATTACATTTTTGTTATATCATTCACAAAAATAGCTTTAATGGGTAAAAATTAATATAGATTCAAATAATTTTAGTGCAAAAATTGCCATCTACTGGCGAAGTAGGATAAAAATGGCGGATGATGTGTTGTTTGAATTACTACATATGGAAATGACGATTTCTATTTTCCAACCTGATCAAAGTGAGAGCAAGGTAAATAACTTATTAATTGAATAGAGCAAATAAATCTAGAAAATCTTATTCATTTTCCAGGTTTTTTAAAGATAGTTGAATTCGGACTGATTGAACTCAAGATTGAACTTTTAATTTTAATTAACATTCTAATTTTATTTAACATTTTAATTTATGTTTTGGCAGTTTGTTGTACTCAATTTGTAGTTGTAGTGTTGCTTTTACGGATTTGTAATTTTTTTGTTGCGCAGCCTAGATGGCATAAATAAAGTTGACAAACCATAAACTTGCATTCAGTTTTTCATTTTATGTACATATTGGTAAGCCAGTAGACAGTGAATAGGCAAGTGCCCAAAGATTTAACTTTTAAATTTAATGTCAGATTACTTTTGACGTTCTGTGTTCTTTAGACTAATGGTAAAATTTCTTAATAAATTATAAAGTAAAGAATCTATTAAATTGGGTATTGACAAAAAAAAACTTTTCAAGATCATTCACATAAATATGACATAAAATAGAGCGAACATAGATTTACTAAGAGAAATATTGTCTTACTTGAAGTTACTAATCTGTTAATTTTTCTTTTTTTTTTGTATTTTGAAGATACTTTTATCTCAATGATAGGAAGGGAGCACTGGACTTGGTGTATTAAGATTTTCAGAAAACTTTTGATAAGATGCCATACAGAGTATTGGCTAAGAAAAATACATCAGTGGGGGAAAAGGCTAATTACTGCAATTGGATTATATAGTGGCTGGGTGAGAGAAAACAAAAAATTATTAAAATGGAGTCCAGTCAAACAAGACTTTTGTTACTAGTAGTAGTAGTGTGCCTCAGAGGTCAGTGCTTGTACCTTTGTTTTTTCTTATATACTTATTTAGTAAATCAATAAAATTTTTTTGTCACATTAAACTATTATTTATTTCTAGTGGTTCTTCTTAATACCAGAAAATGCATTAAATTTTCCAAAATGCACGTATTGTCTAAAAATTTATATTATTCTCTTCGTTATTATTAATTCATGTGAAACATCAGAACATATGTTCATGGGTCCTCCCAGCTTTGAGGATATTCAAAAATTATGGAAGCTGTAGTGTATAGGAAACTTGTGTGTTTGCTGCTGCACTGCCTAGCTAGATTTTTTCTAGATGTGTTGCCCTACAGTGGCACAGCAGTATGTCTACGGACTTACAATGCTAGAAACTGGGTTTCGATAATAAGGTATAGCTTTGTGCTTAATTACGAACATTCAATCTAGATACGTCCTGTGCCTTATATGAAATAGTCTCAACCAATAGAGTAATATAAGCTTTCAAATAATGTGTATATTTCAGTTCTTTTTGTTATTAAGAATGACCCTATTTCTAGCTCTATTAACGTTACATTAAGGGACCTGTTGGTGCATCGAGGTTGTCCCATCCATAAAAAAATCTTAAATCCAGCCCTGATCATTTAAATATTTATTGAGTTTTCCCTTAAACTTAATGCATCCAACCCATCTGATGGCAACTCATTCCAAAAGTTAAACCCTCTGTTTCTTTGGAGTTTTTTACTCCATTTTGATCCATAGCTTCAAACCCAAAACATTTCAAAACAGCTGTTTTGTAGAACAAAGAAGTATCTTCTACTTTATGCTCTGATGAGTCAGCCATTGTTGACACCACAAGTGGTAGGTAGTGTGGTTAATTTGATATGCAGTATTGATGAGAAGTTAGAAATCCAACTAATAGAAATTTCAAGCCACTTTGCTAAAAATAACAAAATCTACAATATAGAATGGCTATACAGTAAATAGACTGATTATATGGTTGCATGGAAAAGCAAACTTGTAATTTATATTATTTAAAGCACTTATTTTTGTATAACATAAAAGAACATTAAAAAAAGCAAACTGCAGTACAAATGAACCATATATCAAACTGTGGCTAATAAACCTTGATGAATCATAATTTAGGTTAATTGTTACAGCCATACTAGAAAGGTACCTGGGATGAAAGGTTGTCATACAAGAACAAGTTAAGATCTCTGAAATTGCTTTCTCTTTAAAAAAAAAATGTTAGAGGGGATTTGATTGAGGTGTTTGAGATTATTAATAGAATTAATAGTATTGATGCATCATCTTTTTTTTTGTAGTTAATGGTGAGAATGGTAGGGCAAGGAGACATAAGCATAAATTTTGGGAGGATAGGAATCATATTCAACTTAGATATTTTGACTTTTCTAACAGTATGTGGTGGATGCAGTTAATTTAAAGAAGTTTAAGGAAAGGCTTGATAAGTATTTAAATTATCAGGGTTGTATTTGATTTTTTTGTATAGCTGTATTGAACAAATAGGTCCATTTTGTCCTCAGATGCTATAATGACAAAAAAAATTTAAACTAAAGATTTTCTTAGATAGGTTTTAGAATCTGCATAGTTTTAGTCACCTCATTTAAACACTGAAAAGCTTAAAATTTTTCTACCAAATCCTGCTTTATTTTTAGTGTAAAATTTTTGTAATACAAGTTTCTGAGTTTTATATATGTGCATCACTTTATGCTGCTTAGTACTTAAACATTTTTAACCACACACAAAGTCTGTTTGGGATTAGAATGTTATACTCAATATTGGATTTTCTTCTAGAGACTTAACATCATCAGTAGGTCTAGATAATTTGTAGCCCATGCTGCTACATCAATAATGAACCACTTTTAAAAGCTTCTAGTATCACACTCATCCAATTAGAAAACTGACTGTTTGTTATTACTTTTTTTTATTGCAAATATTTTTGTGTTTTCACCAATTCTATAAGAATCTAAATTTTTTGCCCTTTCACCAGTATCAAAGTATTTAATTTAATAATTAATTTTGTATGAGATCATACAAGTTTTCTGAAAGTCAAGATAAATGGTATTCATTATCCAAATGCAAATGGTTGAAATCTTATTCGGGGGTTTAGCCAGATTGGGGCGGGGGTCGTTTTTTAAAAAAAAATATGGACATTTTTTTCCACATGAAGAATTGAAGTGACTTATTTTGCTGTAAATGAAGCTTGTAAAAAAGAAAGTATTTGAAACTTAAGAGAGAAACTTAGCTTAGCTTACCTCACAGTAATAATCTGCTGAGGTGTAAATATCTTGTGTGAGCCTTTTTCAATTAAAAAAAAATTAGAATATAGTGAACCTTTTAGACTTTTTAAAACATTGGGGTGGTTGTATGATACCCTAAACCCACCCTGGCTTTGCCCTTGACTTATTAAAGAAATTGGTAAGTTACTCAGAAAGGAAAGCCTTTATGAAAAATTTTACTCAGTACCACTTGTCAATTTCAAATTTACAAAACAAATTTCTAGATGGTCCCTATTGACAAAATCTAACATTTCCAATACAAGGGAAGCTTAGCTGATAACTTTACAGTTTGTATCCTCTTTCTCTCTGTATACTGTATGTGCTGTTAGGACCATTAGCTAATAGATTAATCATTGGGCTCATTAATGAGTTATAATCAACTAGTCATTTATTCTCACATGAGATGACCAAAAAGGTTGTAATGCTAAAAATTAGGTTTTGATGCTGTGTTTAGCAGAGCACAGAGAGCCATTGTATAGCTTTGTGTTTAACAACAAATAAATATTAAGGGAGTATTTCAATTATTTGGACAGTTGGAATAATCGAAAACCCTAATTTTGATTAGTTGATTATTTTTGTGAGTTATGATACAAATAGATTAAGATGAACAACTTTGAATTAATTAAAAATAATTATGCAAAATTATAATGACAATATTTGATGACTGGATAGTTGAAATAATCAAAAACATTAGTAAATAGAAACACTAATTTCAATTAATTGATTATATTTCATGACATTAATCAATTTAATCATGATTTTTCTTATTTGTTAATTATAATAATTGAAAAAAGTCATATTAATAATCAGAAACTAGTTGATTATTTTAATGACATTAATCAATTTAATCAGTTATTTTGCATGACATTAATCCATGAGTTCTTGTATCAACTTTCTTAGCCAATGTAAAGTCACAACTGACAGCATTATTTGTAGAGTTTTCAAATCAGTGGGGAAAATTCTCCACTTCACTTAGTAAGAGAGGTACATACAATGTACAGCATATAATTATCCAGTAACTTTGTAATGGTGTGAAGCAACTGAATCACTTGAAATGAGATGTTTTTCATTTGGTTCCATTGATATTACTAACATTTTAAAATTTCTGTACGTGACTTCTTTTAGTGTTGAACATTTTATTTACAGTAGAACAGTTACAACTTTTCTTCTTGTTTTTTTTTTTTGTGCATGATTCTTACTTGCCTATGGAAAACTGTATTACAGTTGTTCACATCATTTGTGAAAACATTGTTCTTCTGTTTATGTATTGTTATCAATGTGTTTCAGTTATAAAAAAAAACTAGTGTTGTTACTCATGTGCTAGAAATGTAGAGATTGTTTTTAAGGGGTTGTAAAGATTTAGAATAAAAGTATACTGCAAATTGAGTCTTGTTTATTATCTGTAACACAGCATACAATGTGTCTGTTAGACTGGCAAGTGAAATCAGTAGCAACACTAATAAATATGCACAAATACATTCACCAGTATTATGAATTGACTGTGACCCAAATTTACCCTATATTTATGTATATCATTGACATACTCGCATAATATAGGTAATATATTATTTCACAAATCTGAGACTGTTTTAAAACATGAATAAAGATACATAACTGCTACCTTAGTAAATATGGTAAAACAGAGTGTTGTATGTTGTTTGTTCATAGTTTCACATTTCTCATGTTGTCATTTATTGGTAAGGAAAGGCAATCTTTCAGACCTGAAGAATCTTCTTGTAATTCACTAGTTAATTATTCTCTTACTACTGACTGTATATGTACATCCTACATAAAAAAACTCAGTAAAAACAATGTCTCGCCATTCTAAATTAACAAACAAGATATCAAAAAACTAATAAATTCTTCAAAAATTCTGTTTTTTAACAAAATTCTAGCAACTTTCAGGAAGTTGCATTTACTTGAATATCTTTTGGACAGCTTAATGCATAACTTTACCATGTGAAGCAGCAATCATGAATGACTAGAAGTGCTATGAAGAAATGTATGTGTAGTGTAGGCTGATTTGTAGCTTGACAAGCAAGTACTTGTGTTCACTTTAGTAGCCTGTCATAACTCTAGACTAGCACCAGGCTATCTGATTTGTACAGCCATATGTGCTTTACCAGTGTTTAAATTATACAAATAGTATTATTGTGTATGTACTCCATCAGAGCATTTCAGTTATAGAAATGTAATGTTGCTCTTCATGAACTCTGTCAGACAGCATGAGTTTTTATGTATTTGTCTTTGTACTTTCTGTAGAGATCCAGTATTTCTAAGCTTGAGCAGATTGGGTTTTGTACAGGTTATCGTCTAGTGGAAAGGTAAATATTTTGTAGCTGCAATTAATGACATTAAACTTATTCTGTGCGAACAGTTAAGAATAATCTCTAGATATATATATCAAACTATTTTGTTGTCAGGGCTTGCACATGTATGGAAAGCCATTGAAGATCTTGGAATTTTGGTGTGAATATTTTAGGTCCTAAAAACATTGAACAGTAAATATTTTTTTTTGTCTAGTCATGTAATGTTTTGCAAATTGTGGTTTTCAGCAATTTCAACAAATTTCTTTAATTTGGCTTTTGACCATCAAAATGCAAAATATCACAAAATGATACTTGTGTCTATATAACAAATTCTCTCAGAAATGCTGTATTTTTAATATTTCAAGAGAATTTCAGTATTTTGTGCTTCTAAGCATATTTTATGCTTCAGAGTTTATATGAAAAATTCAAAAGCAATCTTAAAAAAGTCATGGAATTTTTCACATTTGAGCTGTATGAATCCCACTCGTGAAATATCCAAATGGAATGGAATTAAAGTTGTTGATTGATTTGAAAATATTTCTGTTAACAGTGGCATAAGAACTGAATGGGCAGTGTAGGCTTCTTCACAATTTGAAATTAGGCAATGTGTTAGCATAAGCCCTACATAAGTAGCAAAGAGGAAATGTAAAATATTCATTCTATTTAAAGTTACATGAAAACATTCTGAAAAAAAAATATTTTGATCGATTAGGTCAAGGTCAATTCATTAATGCTCATGGCTGTAATTACTTTTTTGGAAGACCAGGATTGGGCATGGGCAATAATAATGCAAACATTGTTAAATAAGTCTTGATAGCCCAACCATCCTGCCAAAACAAGCAAGCGTCTGGAATCTTTCAGTATAGTACCATGAGATGTCAATCAGTAAGCTGTAAACATCCATACAGAACACTAGTTTTAAAGGCTCAAATACATATAAGTTTTAGGGTTCTGCATTTCAGTAATTCAAGAAACAGCAGGAAACATTTGCTGGAAGTCAAAGTCTAGGTAGTGTGGTATTAATCTAGCCACCAGTTATATGCCCGTTTCACTACTACCCACATGGTTTTGATATTGATAAGTGTAAAGCTAAGCACTTAAGAGTACAGGAACATTATTGGTGGTAGTAAGAAAATATGACTGTGGTTGTTGAAAAAAACTTTAATATTTCAACAGAGTATCTGACTTAGTTTATGGAAGCTATCCAGCTTCTGGAATCTGTCTGAGAGAAATGTAAGAAGATTGATCTCAGTATCTGAAAAGAGTACAGAGTAGAGTTCCCAGAATGATATCTCATTTAAATAATTTGGGTATGGAGAAAGCCTAAACTAATTGCATTTTTTTTATGGTTGAAGTGTAATGAAGTTGTGATGAAACAATTCATATTATTACATGCTTGTTGTTTGTGTGCATGAAGATAGGCAATTGTGACTTTTTTTTTTTAGGAAAAATTTATTTTTATTATTGTAACTTATAACATGGGCTGATAGCATGAGTTTTTCAAGGTTTAATTGTATAGGTATATGGATATGAACAGTAATATTTTGATAGGTTGCTATTTAGTTTTTCCTATCTGTAGCTTAACAACAACATTTTGTATCGGGATTCATGGTTGCATCTTACTGTCATATTTATTGGCTCTAGATACATGTATACGTGGCCACTGTTTGTTCTTTAACTTGCACATTTTGGTGGAGATTAATAAAAACAAATTATGTATCTTTATCAATTTAGAATAAATGCTCAAAGTGAGTTTATAAGCCATAATTAAATGCCTCAAGCAAGATTAACCAAACTATCAACTTAAACTGTGAATGTTTGAAGAAGATGTATACAATAGTGTCATTTAATTATAAGCCCACAATATCAGAAATTTTCAGACACATCTTTGTCAAGCTAAAATATTTCACAGTTGTGAATTTTTGGAGCTGAATTAAGTTCTGTATTTTTCTCAACAGTTTTAACAGATTCAGTTTAAAAATTCTGAATACTGGAATTTGATCATTGAGAACATTTTTTGACGTACAAATAGCATGCAAGTGAAAACTCTGAATTGGTTAAAGTGTTAAATTTGTCAGGTACGATTAACTGAAATTAGTTAAGTATTAGTAATACTTGTAATTTAATTTACATACTGAAACTCAAGTGGTGTTTTATCAGAAAGTATTCTAAAATCATATAAACGTGTGTAAATGTATTGTCTAGATAGTGTGCATAGTCTTATTTTAGTTATATTTTGTGTAGCTTAGCTGTTATAATTATATGTAATGAAAATTAACTTAAAGCTTTTTTTCCTAGATCTAAACCTTGCTGTGTAAATATAGATGTTTGTATGTCTAATATACAGAATATGTTATCCTCAGGCTGACCAAAGACTGGCCAAGATTCAAAGATGAATTGGACACAATGAAGTTCATCTGTAAGGAATTTTGGTCATGTATATACAAAAAACAAATTGATAACCTACGGACCAACCACCAGGTAAAAAAATAATTTTTGTTTTAGATATCATGAACATAATAATGCATTGATCTATATAACATAACAGTTAAGATTTGTGTACAAGTAAAATATAAATCCACTGAAAGTTGTTCATAAATCTAGAAATTTAAGTCAATTTAAATGCATTTTAGAAATTTTAGTATTAGTTTACTTGTACTTTTTTTAATAAAGATTAGGGGCATCATGATTACTTGTTGACCCAAGCTGTGCTGAAGATTTTTGAGTAGGCAAAACTGTCCTCTAAGCATTGCTAAAACAAATTTCACACTCAGCATATCAGTCTATATACTCTCCACCAATAGTATTGCACCATCTATATTGGTGCAACAAGCTCCCTCTGCTATTCCTGCACAATCCTCACTTTCTTGATTGGCACAGCTTCATCATAGACATGGTTTTTTTTCATGTGGCTACTATTTATGATTGTGCTTATTTTCCATTTCATTTTTTTAAACAGTTTTCTTTTACTGTGTTTGCATTCCATTGTTTTAACAATATTTTATTTTTGCATTTATTTCTTGTTATTGAACGATTTATACGTGAACTTTATATGAATTTCGGATTCAATGTATCAACTATGGTAGTTCCCATTACAGTTGACGATGCTACCGTTGCGACTTCCCAGGAATCAGGTTCAACTTTATTTGAAGAAGAGGTACAGGGAGCTAGATTCATATGTTTGGCCAGTGATTTCTTCTCCTTTTGAGCTTGACAATGTTACTGAGGAAGAATACAATCAAGGAGAAGATCATTTGGACTCTTTTTCCAGCACCTTCTTATTTTGGTCTGTCACACTCCAATTTTTTTTTACAGCTGGTTACTCAGGTCAATGTACATATTCAGTTTTTTCTGTATGTTCTTAATGAGGGGGATTTTGCTAGTTTTATTTTTCTTGCTTCTGTTGCCATGCCTTTGGTGGAGGTTTGTTCTTCTCCTCTTTTCTTCCTATTACTTCCAGATTTCCCAATGGATCAGTGGTAAGTTTTCTACTTGTACACTTTGCACCTGTTTGTGATACCTGTTGTAGGCACAGCTCAGATGTTCTTTGTGTGGCTTTGTCTTTCTTTACACACAGGAGAATTAAGTATTTCATGTCAACAGTGCTTATGTGTCCTTTGTCGTCTAAGTTAATTGAGATTTATTGCAAGTTAGACATTGATTATTACTTTGTTCCTATGTAATTTTAGTCGGTTTACACATCTGTTATTATTATTACGTACTTTGTAGACTAGGTAAATTTCAATGGTTTGTCAGTTCTATATTAATTAATATTCTATATTAATGAGTACTTTGTTAACTAAGTATGTTTAGATAGTTTGTACTTAACATATCATTTTTACTAGTAACATCTAATTCATTTCTCTCTGAATAATTTTTTTTCGTCATTGTTAAATAACTGCCTTATAATTTTAATTTTTGCCATTGCTACATCACTGGCATATTTGTTTCTTTCTCATTTGTAGGGTTGAGATTTGCTTTGGCTACATTTCCTACATTCTTGATACTAGAATTCAATATTCTCCTTGTACTCTACAATTCAATATTCATCCCCACAGTAAACCACATTCTCGGTAGTTATTTATAGCTAGAAGTCGAGTGTTTCAGTTTAGGACTCTATCATTTGGACTATTCTTGACTCCTTATGCATTTTGTTGGGAGGTAAGAACTTTTGCCCAACATACTCCATTGGTCTTTGCACTCATCATTACATGGATGACTGGCTCCTGCTCACAGTCCAGAGACCACACTCGTCTGCTTCTACAAGAAGCAGCATGGGTGGGATTCCTGATAAAGCTGGAGAAGTCTGTTCTTACCCCCACTCAGTAACTTGTTCATTTGGTAGTTTTCTTCACTTCCAACGTCGGGCGGGGCCAGCCTTCTCCTCTTTGTCTTAGGAATATGGAGCATGCAGTCCACAAGGCTTTCAGCTCACAGCTCCTATTTCTTTTGGGGATGTGGACTTCCTTGGAAGGTTGAGCTCACATGTGTTCCCTTCAGTGAACACTCCTTGATCAGTGGAACTTCTACTCAGATTCCTTGGAAATCCTCTTGCCCAGTCCCCAATCATGACTGGCCTGGCTTGGTGGCTAGACAGGGACCAGACCACAGGGGGGGTTCTACATCCTCCACCTCATCTGGATCACAGATGCATCTTTAGAGGGTTGGGGGTGCTTACTTTGACACTCTGGAGATTTCAGATCTCTGGTCTGTCAAAGAGTCTTCTCTCCATATCAACATTCTTGAACTTATAGAGGTTTGTTGAGCTTTTTCCCACTTCATTCCTCTCCTGTGGGGATGGGTGGTTATGGTACACTCCGACAACTCCACAGTGGTCACTTATGTCACCAAGTGAAGAAGTACAAAATCCAGATATCTTAGTATTCAGATCCTGGATCTACTTTTCTGGGCCAACATTCCCCACACAGTGGTCTTAGCTTGCCATGTTCCTGGCCCCCTGAATCTGGTTGCAGATCATTTGTCTCAACCCAACAAGATTCTCACCTTAGAGTGATCCCTTGATCCACAGGTCTTTCGGTGGGTGTGTTCTTAGCTGGGAACATTTCATATAGATGCTTTCACCACCCACTGGAACACCAAACTTCCTTCCTTTTGCTCTCCCATTCCACACCTATTAGCTCTGGGACTGGACATATTCAGTCAAGATTGGAGAAGTCATCATATCTGTGCTTACCTTCCTGTTTGACTCCTTTCTCCCCAGAGTTGCATCCCTAATTCAAACTACTACATGTCTAGGCCTCCTGATGACTCTGCATTGGCTGGCACAACCATGGTTCCCATTGCTCTAAGCTTTACTTGTACAACCTCCCCTACCCTTACCTTTGTCTGAGTATCTCCTTTGTACATTTTGGTCAGACATCGTTCATCCAGATGTCACCACCCTCCGTCTTCATGCATGACTTTTTGTCAGCTCCATTGCCTCAGCCAAGGGACTGACTCCACTTGTTGTGTCTTTTCTTTCCAGACCCATAAGACTTCCTTCCATGTCCATTTACCAAATACCAAAAGTGATGGTCTATTTTCCTTCTTTGGTCTCTTCAATGTGGTTTCTATCCTTCTCACCATTCCAATCCTTATCTTTTCCAGTTTTTCACCTGTTTGTTTGACAAATGCTGTGTCTAGCTATTTGGCGGCCTTGTAGAACACCTTCTGTTTCTCCAAGTTTCATAACGTTTTGACTTCCCCTGCCATTTCTCCCCTTTTCCACTCCTTTTGGGTCATGCATCTTCCATTTTCTTTTGATTTACCTGTTTGGGATATCAGTGTGGTCCTTTATGCCCTTTCCTGTTTTGTTTTTTTTGTGTGTGTGTGTTCCATATACCACCTCAAGATCTATTTCCTTCTCTTCCATTAATGTTACCAGAATCCTCTACCATTCCACTTATCGTCCTATATTTAAACCCGTCCTACCTTCCTAAGACCTATGCTGCCCATGAAGGCTGTTTGGCTTTCACACCCATTTCCTTACCTTCCATCTCCCACTTGTACTCTCATTCTGATCCAGATTGGCCTCATTGTTCAGGTCACTCCTTAGGGTGTTATGTAGCATATATTGACTCCTTTTGGAGTTCGTGTTCCCAACTTTTTCTTCCCTGGATTCCATCTGTTTCCTGTGATTTATCCCATGTCACACTGACTGGTTAGGTTTGTCAACTCATTAGGCTGGCATATTCTGACTTATCCATGGAAGGTCACTATCTCCACAACATTTCTTCTCATCAAATTTGTCATATCACCATGTCTTTGGCTGCTTACCTTCACCATCCATTGGAGGAGATCATTCAGGCCAGAATGTGGAATACTTCCAATACATTTGTCACTCATTATCTGCATGGCTGTATCTTCCTCAGGTGGATATTGTCTCCCTCCCATGTTGATTCCACACATGTCCGTTGCCTTTGACTGAGGTAAGTCTTAACACATCATTTCCTTTGTTTTCTTTACAGAGACCATCTCTTTTCTACCACTGCTTATGGGATTCCACTCTATGGCAGGTGTTGCCTGGTCAGGTATGCTTTGCCCCAAACCCACATTATTTACTGGATGCATCATAATGCTCACTGTAGAGATGAGGTGTTCTGCAAGACCACTGGTGGTATGCCCAGTGGAATATATATATATATATATATATATATTTCTCAATATCCATAGGTATCACTCCTGGACTTTCATGAGTAAAGCAAAAGGGGATTTCTGCTCATCCTTGCCAACCTCTTGATTGAATAAATTAGGGATGGTTTGCTTTTCAAAATAGGAAGCTGTGGACATCCATTACACTTTCTCCAATGTGACATTCTTCCAGTCTCCCCACCTCACTTACTTCCCCCTTTTTCCTCTGAGTAGAGCAAGGGAGTCTTTACCACTTCCCAGTCACTGGGGTGGTGGACAATGGAGGTTTCCTCCTGAGTGCATTGTAGACTTTTAACTTACCATATATCCACTCAGTGAGAAGAGGGCAAAGCTGGTTTCCCTCTTTCCATTTTGCCTGTTTGCTTATTCCAAGATGGATAGTTGTCAGTACACTGGATCCTCCTCCTAACACTGCCCTGTTCCTATGGTTGTGTGCAGTAGAGGCTCCCTTTCTCATTCATTCCAGTTGCAGGTGGTTCCTTCCCTGCTCCTACAGTTGAGTTTGGGGGACTTCATCTGTCTTGTAATACTGTCAACAGGATGTACATACACTGTTCCTACAGTTGAGTGAATATTAAATATCCTCCTCTTAATTCTCAATGCAGGATGTCTCTTCCTTGCAGTTACAGTTGAGTGAGGTAAGATTTCTGCTTATAATTCCAGTTACATATATTGCCCTGTTCTTATGGTTTAGTTGAGGCAATGCCATGACCCTATACTGCCGATTTTGGTATGTTGTATTTCTTGCTCCTATGGTGGTTTTGGGAGTTTGTCCTGTTTCCACCACATGCTAACTTCCTCTTTGTAATTCCTGCTGCTTGACATATGACACTGTTTACCTACAGAATGGGTTCATGTGTATATGTAACACTGTTCGCATTCCCTAGCCACAATGTTTTTGTTACTCTATATTCATTTGTATCTGATTGATCCTCAACTTCCTAATGCCAAGGACGAGTTGTGAAACCTCGATTGTCCGGTTGAGGTTGGGTATATACTTAACTAAGTCAGGTTATTTTTTATTATGGATTGCACCTCTCAGAACGAATTATTTTTGTGCACATCCTTTTTTTCCACCCATATCAGGTTCATTTCCTTCTTCCAAGACAAAGGGCATACCTGTTCCACAAGTAGTCCAGTGCTCCACATGTGTGCTTCAGTTCATCTCAGAAAACATCCATTATTTTTGGGTGGGTGGTCGCTTTCTGCTCGGTTTCAATGTTGTGTGCCTACACCAGCCCTCCACCTTTGCAATATGGGATTCTAGTTTTGTGTGAGCAGAAGTAAAACCTATTGGAAGTTAACATTTTCTTATACTGAAAATGTATTTCCGATAGGTACTTACCTCCTTTCACACTTCCCACACTTCCTATTCACTGCCAGTGTTATTCCTTTAGATCCTGTCAGTTCTCAAAAATAAGGATTGACTGGGAATAGCAGAGGAAGCTAGCTGCACCAGTGTAGGTGGTGCAGTACTACTGGTGGAGAATAGTCACGTGATATGTACATGTTCAGAAGTGGGACAAAATTGGTGGAGGTATATAGACTGGTGTGCTGAGTGTGAAAGTCTTTTTTAGTAATGCTTAGAGGACAGAAAGAAGATCGAGATAGCTTTGTGTGAGAGGAGGTAAGTACCTATCCGAAATACATTTTCAGTGTAAGAAAATGTTAACTTTTGAATCTTAGATGCTTTACAACACACAAGAAAATACGTAAACAGCACATGCATGAGGATTTACTTCCTGTCTGATTCTAAACATATGAGCTGAGACAGTAATCTTAATATATCAACTCATCTGAATTATTTCATACATTTTGTTCTGAAATAGAGGACTGAATTATTAATACGTTGACTTTTTAATGTATGAATGAATAATTAAAACTCAACACAAAGGAAATGTGAGTTTAAATAATCCTTTAATCTGTGTCATCTCCTAAACATGACATCAAAAGTTCTTAAACTTTGTAGACTCTTAAGTCAAACCAGATTATTACCTATTGACACTGAATTTCTTATTGTATTTTAAAACTCTGATATTTGGTGATGTATATGAAATATTACCTTTTAACTTGAATATATCAATTTCATTCAACCTATATAGGGAGTTTATGTCCTGCAAGACAATAGGTTCAGGTTTCTCACCCAACTTTCCCAATCCAAACAGTATATTGAAGCAACACCTAAGGTATTTGAACTCGGATAGTTATTTTTATGCAGTATTATTTACTATGAATTACTCAGCCTTATAGTAACCTTTGAAATAATTAATAATATTAATACCTTAAGAAATATAACAGGTGTATTGTGATGAATATAGAATTGATTAGTTTAAAGTAATCAGTACACCAAAAAATATTTGTCATTATCGAAAAAACGTATATGTCAACTTAATTTATTTCTTATTGTTTCTTACAAGAAAAAAAATTAATGCTATTAAATATATTGTCTAAAGAGAGCTAAAAAATATAAAAGTAATGAATTAGTAATACAAGGTGAAATAATGGATTTTCTTTAAGGAGTTTGATGCCAGTTTTAAAGAAACCTGTGCATTTTTTTTTAATTTGGAACTGTTTTTTTTTTGTAATTGGTTTTTATTTTTCTCAGAAACCATGTATTTAAATAAAAAACATTAAGTAAAAATCAGTGTTTATTTTGCAAGACATTACTGAAAGGTTTTTTAAGAAATTAGTGCATTGATAACATTTTTCAAAGAGTTTTTAAAATAATTAAGCCTACAATTTCACACTATATTATTTATTCTGTTGCAGAAAATACACTAGAGGCTGAGACAGTTAAAAAATTAGTATTGTAACATTAATGTCACATGGTAATACAAATATGTAACATACTTGTTGTAGAAACTGCTGAAATAAAAAGGCTCAATGTTAGAAATATCAGCTATTAATTATCACATAAAATATAAAACTTATAATGCTTTTCAAAAATCTTTGAATCTAGAAGAACTTGTTATCTACTAAATTTCTGGACAAATTTGTATAATGTAGCTTGCATCACAGCTCTGGATTGGAAAATTTTAATCATAAGTTTGTTGGAAGTGCAATTACAGTGTTCCATAGCTGAAAAAATAAAGAGTTTTGTATGTTTGAACTTTTTTTGGCACTTTTTTTTCATTTCAGTATTCTTGACATTTTAATCAGAGCTGTAAGCTGTGGCTCAGTGTTTCTGTTGAACATCTTACATTTTAATCTTTCTAAAAAAAAATGCATGAATATACATGTAATAAAGTTTAGTGGTTTGATTACATGAAAGATAATGAAACACTCTTTTTTTGTTACAGTACTTAGCTTTCACATGTGGAGTTGTTCGTGGAGCTTTATCAAATTTGGGGATCACGTGTATTGTCACTGCTGAAGTTTTTTCACCTCCTACTTGTAAGAAAATTTTTTCAATCACTATATAAATCTCCTTCTATGTGTAATTACATAATTTTAGGCTATATAATGTGTAATTGTATTCGAACTTGTAATTTTTAATCATTCTCTACATACTTTTAATTATTGGATCATTTTCTTATTTGTTGGTTCATGTCTTAAAAAAGTCAATCTTGTAAGTACATAGTTTCAAATTATGAAAATTAATAAAATTGTTATATCTGTTTTCATTTTTTTTTGTGTTCTTTACTAGATTTTTTTGTTACACTTTGAAAAAAAGTAAATGTTTGTTATATTTTATTTAGGTTTATGTAAACATAAAGAAAGAAGTTCTTGAGATTAATTTCTTCTACAAATATCTATGAATAAACTTTTTTCACAAGAAAAATATCTATAATCATTTGTTTTACATTTGTTAAGAAGGACTAATAATAATGGAGACTGCTGTAGTTTAAACAAAATGAAGTGTTATTTATCTTCATTTATATTTTCTCTTGTTTTTATTTGCAGGTAAATTTCAAGTTCAAGTTCAGAGAATATGAGTAATTATATTTAATAAAAGTCTACCATTTTTGTGTAAAATATTCCGGTTTAACATGTGTATAAATCTAGGATTTCATGTAAATATGGCATATATTGTCACAATTATTTCTTTGTCATTAACTTTTTAGGTTTTGTTTTTACAATATTTATGCTGTGTATTTGGTGAAATAATGAACAGATTACTTCAGGGTTTGTAATAATTTTGATTTCAATAAGCACCTTTCAAATACAGCCAACTAAAATATAAATGAAGTTAAATATAAGTCAAAATAAATGAAGCAGTGCACTGTTCTGAATAAAATAGCTATTTCCACTTAGAAGTAGCCTTAATATTATTTTCAGTTTGTTTCATTTAAAATTTTTCTTGAAAATATAATTTTTTTTGAAGAACTATCTAGAAGGGCTGCTTAATTGCAAATATCTTTAAAGCACAGATCCCTGACTTTTCTATTCACTGCTAATTACAGGGTGCAAGGAACATGCTCCTTACTTTAGAATAAATAATCCAAGCTTTATTTTAACTTGTTACTTGGAAATAAGTACTATGCAATCTACACATACATTATTATATTACTTTTATAGAGATCTTTGGTTAACCACACTGCCTATGGTTGCTGGATTGTTGTAAATTGGGCCTCCAATGTTTAAAGTTGTATCTTTTCCTTGATAAAAGTAGTAGTATCAACAAAAATGATGTAATTTTATAGTAAAACTGTTGTATTTAGTTTACTCACTTTAATGTTTTTTAAATATATGCTAAGTTTGTGTAAAATAAAGTTAATTTCCATCTAGCCTTACATTTCATTTCTATGTAAAAACAATTGAGAATGATGGAATAAAAGTAATGTTGCAAAATAATGATTAGCTAAAGTTGTCACCTCTCGTCCTTCAGGGGGTAATGGAGTATCAATGATAATGATGTTTTTGTGTAGAAAAGTTGAATCGGTAAATGTACTTGCGTTGAAGGATATATTGTTATGTATTAAGGGTTTAAATGAATTAAGAGAAAAGTCACCTTGTGAAAAACAAAATGTACAGATTAACATTACATAATTTTGAATTTTTAGAAATGCAAGAAGTGATATTGTGTGTGAAAAACATGTGTGTAGACACGTGTATATAAGATATACACACACACATAGTGATATCTAAATAAAAGAAAAGTTTGTAAAGTGAGTAGTTGGTTATTTTACTCCAAATGTTTTCCTTTTGTAAGATTCTTATAATTTGTGATGTTTTGTGAAAGGGTTTAGTTTCTTTTTCAAATTCTTAGTACAGCATCCCAGAATGCATTAATATGTTTCGGCAGTACCACAGAGAATACAACATGAAAATCTAATAGTTATATTTTATCACCTCTGATTAAATGTGTAACACAGAAAATATAACAGCTCAAACATCTTCATAAAGAAGATAAGGCAGTAAATTTACCCACTTTGAAAGAAAATATTATTCCACTCAGTTTATAAAAACGTTTGCTGCATTAGAAGTAATGGTGATATTTATATTCTAATATGTGAGTGTCAAAACAATTCAAATTCAAACCTTCTTTTCAAATGTGATATACTTTTTCAAGATGTCTGTACAGTGCCATTTTGTTGGTGAACATGTATAAGGTGTTAATAATAAAAAAATGATGAAAATTTGATGATGAGTGATGAAACTTGGTGTGTAAAATATTGTTAACCAACTATTAGTTAAGAGGTAATGAGTAAAGTGCGTGAAGGTCCAGTTGATATTACTAGAATTAAAAAAAAAAAACAGTATCCTACTCTAGTATGTTGGTACTATATTATTGTATGTTTTTGTATTTCAATAACATCATAAAATAATTTTTGAAATTAAATAACAAAATGTTTAGCCTGTTTGGTCTTTTCAACTTTCTCTACCATTTGTGAATTAAATACATTATAGTTGATAACCTTTATTATCATTGATTATTGTAAATGACTTAGTTCTAATAAATCTAGTATTTAAATTTGCTCTAGGCTTACTGAATTGGTTTTCAAATTAACCTAAATAACTTGAATTCTTTATTTTTGTGTCATCTTTTCACGATTATTTAGCTTCATCTATTTTGCAACAACAAAATTCAGTGTGGTATATTTTTATGTACTAATAAGTAACCAGTTAGGAAAATTTTGTATACTATGAATCATTTCTCCATAACACTATTTCCAGCAGTGATCCTTCATTGGTGTCCTAAAGAAGCATACTGATATTTGAGGGTAAGGAAAAAAAATTGATATTGCAGTGTGAGTTGTATTTCTGCTTGATATTAAAATTTCTGTGATCAATGATATTTCAAGCAGCTGTTCAGTTACTTTGAATGAGTTATTGGAGCAGACTATACTAGAAGATAATTGTTTTGAATTTTTGCTTATGCTCTGGGTACAGCTGCTGAGTTGGAGAAATTAAAATTATACAGTATTATCTTGGCCAGTAAATGGTGCTACAGTTGGATACTTTAGAAGGATTATTTTTGGTTAAAGTTTAAAAACTTTAGACTTGTTTTAATTACATGTTTGAAACTTAATAATGTTATCCTTCTTTTTCAATTGAAGAAAAGTTAAAGCAAAATTTATTTTGAACTTTGTATTTGTCACTTACTAAAATCATTCAAAACATGTACCTTTAACACTTGATTTACTGGTATACCTATTAAAACAAAAATTGAAAACTACTGTATGCATTGCAAGTCAAATCCATTTCTAAAAACTAAATATGGGTTTTATAATCTTCATGTAGAACTCACTTTTACAATTGAAAATCGTTTGGGTACATTATATACACCTGGAAAAAGGTTAAGCACCCCCGTGTTTTTTTCAAGTGATTCAGATTCAACGTTCTTGTGACTGATTATAAATTACCATTCAATCTAAACGTGTTTATCAAATGAAATTATGCATTATTGGGCACAAGAAAACAAGATTATCACCGTAAAATAACAATTTTTAATTTACATATCATGAC